TACGTGGGAACGGCGCTCCCGCCTGAGACTTCTTCGAATTTTACTCAGGACCCCCGCTCCTGCCTGACATTTCCGCGCAATTGACTCAGGAACGGCGCTCCCGCCTGAGACTTCCTCGCAATTTAGTGAGGACCCCCGCTCCCGCCTGAGACTTCCGTGCAATTTGCTCAGGAACGGCGCTCCCGCTTGAGACTTCCTCGCAACTTAGTCAGGGCCCCCGCTTCCGCTTGAGATTTCCTACAATGTACTCAGGACTGCGCTCTCGCGTGCGACGTCCTCACAAATTATTCTGGAATTGCGTTTCGGCGCTCAGGAACCACGCACGCGCCAAGGACGCCTTCACAACGTGGTATCTTCCCTCTTCCTTCGTCCTTCCCCCTCCCCTTCCTCCCACTCTCCCTCGTTCTTCCCCTCCTCCTCTTGCAGGGCCCGCGCCAATTCCAATGGCGGGCAGAGAGATGTACGCCCCCGAAGGATTGTCCGCCCGTTCCGGTTTGCCCGTACGTCTAAGCCCGCCGGCCCCAGCAAAGAGAAATAATCCCCCCGAAAGGGGTGTGATCGAAGACGAAGAGGGCGGGTATCGAGGGTGTAGGGTATACGTGTTGAATGACTCGCGGGCAAGTAAGAGCGTACAGCCTTAAAATGGTTGTTGTTGTTGTTGTTGTTGTTGTTGTTGTTGTTGTTAAACTCTCATTTCTGAAGAATAGTTATTGTTGATCCCCCCCGTCCTGGGCACATTGTTTTTTTCGATTGGAGTGCCCTTCCCAGGGCTCGCACCCTGTTTTTTATCAGGGAAAGTCTTGAGGGTCAAACTGTGCCATTGGCCCCCGGTTTACAACAACAACAACAACAACAACAACAACAACAACAACAACAACAACAACAACAACAACAACAACAACGGCTCCCGCCTGATACATCCTCACAATTGATTGAAGAATCGCGCTCTCGCTTGGGACTTCCTTGCAATTTGCCACCGGATCGCGGCTCCCGCTGAATACTTCCTCACAATATATTTATTTAATCGCTTCGCTCATTCCGCCGGCCCTGGAGCCCTCTTTAGGGCCTATTGGGGGCCTCTTGGGGACCTCTTGGGAGTCTCTTGGGGCTCCTTGGCGGCGTCCTGGGGGCCCCCAGGGCCTCTTGGTGGGCTTTTGGGGGCCTCTTGGGGCGGGAGGGGGGGTAGTCGATTGCGGCTCCCCCCTCGGAGGCCACGATCCTAGTGAGGGGTGTCGAAAAATGGCCCTCCCCTGGAGTGCTCTGGTGGCTTCTCCCGGGACCTTGCCCGGGTATTTTTCGTCCGGGGGCCCCCAGGGGCCGCTCCGCGCGAGCGTACTAGAACTATCGTTAACCAGTTACCGGAGATCTTAGCATGCCTCTGGCCCGTTGGGCTGGCGAATTGAAGAATCGTCTCTCGCTTGGGACTTCTTCGCAACTTACCACCGAGTCGCGGCTCCCGCCTGATTATTCAGATGCCGCTCCTCGACACTCCGGAATCGCGCTCCCGCTACAAATTGCCTGGCGGTTCAAGCAGAATTTGAGCTTCAACGACCCGCCCGCTCGACCCGCCCGTCTGGGCCTGCCCGCCCGACCAGCCCGTTAGGGACTGCAGTCGCCGCTCGCTGCCCTTCGCCCGCCTTCGATGCCCCTCGCTGCCCGTACTGGTTCCGCGGTCGCCTTCGCTCGCTGCCCTTCGTGGCCCCGTTGCTGCCCTCATTGGCCCCGTCGCTGCCCATTGTGGCCCCGCATTATATGCCCTTCGTGGCCTCCGCTCGCAGTCGCCCGTCGTGGCCCCATACGCATACCCTTCGTAGCCCCGCTGTCGTCCTTCGTGGCCCTCTCGCTGCCCTTCGTGGCCCCTTTGCTGCCCTCAGTGGCCCGACTGTCGCCCTCTGTGGCCCCATATACGAATGCCCTTCGTGGCCTCCGCTCGTTCGCGCCCGTCGTGGCCCCATATGCATGCCCTTCGTGGCCCCGCTGTCGCCCTTCGTGGCCCCCTCGCTGCCCTTCGTGGCCCCGTTTCTGCCCTCAGCGGCCCCGTCGCTGCCCTTTGTGGCCCTGGATTAATTGCCCTTCGTGGCCCCCGCTCGCTCGCGCCCTTCGTGGTCCCATACGCATGCGTTTCGTCGCTCCGCTGTCGCCATTCGTGGCCCGCTCGCTGCCCTTCGTGGCCCACTTTCTGCGCTCAGTGGCCCCGCTGCGCTCAGTGGTTTCACCAACCACACGTGGCAGGGAATGAAAATACCCCCAAAAGGGGGTACGATCGAAGACGAAGAGGGCGGGTATCCAGGGTTTGGGATATGCATATTGAATGACACGCGAGCAGATCAGAGCGAACAGTCTTAAAATGACTGTTGCTGCTGCTGCTGCTGCTGCTGCTGCTGTTGTTGTTGTTGTTGTTGTTGTTGTTGTTGTTGTTGTTGTTGTTGTTGTTGTTGTTGTTGTTGTTGTTGTCGTTGTCGTTGTCGTTGTCGTCGTCGTTGTCGTTGTTGTTGTTGATGTTGATGTTGTTGCTGTTGTTTCCCAATCAGTGCTTGCGCTGATGGGTTCTCGTTTGGCTTGGTAAGTAATCGGACGGGTCCGCCAAGATTTCGCCTGGTGGGCGCCCGTGGGCGCCTCGTGGGCGCCCCGTGCGCTTGCTGGGTCCGCCGAGGTTTCGCCTGCTGGTGTGCGCCCGTGGGCGCCTCGCGGGCGCTCGTGCGCTGGCTGGGTCCAACAAGGTCTCGCGAAGGAGCTTGCACCACATACACTCTTCACCCAGACAATAGGTAGGTTCCACCTCCCTTCCCGAGGCCGGACTTCGCCGCGCATTTTCTTTTTGTTCTCTCTCTCTCTGTTGTCGCAAGCAGCAGGCATGAATTAATTAGTGCAGCCGAGCCAGTATCGATTCCCTCTCCTGCGCAACTGCGATGTGGTGCACATGCGTTGAGCTAAAGCTTTTCTCCTACGAGACCCTTGCAGTATGTACGGTGCGGGGCAAGCGCACGCGCCGCCGCGCGCGCATGTCAACATCATCCAAACATTGTCAGTATACCAAGTTCAAGGCATAGCTACTCAACAACTATCAGACGCCATCGTTTCTCCAACAACGCAGTTTGCAGATTTCTGCGCGCGCACCTGCTGAGATCATAACGAGCTTCTTGGGTTACAGCATGCTTTCCGAAAGCGTTCAGCAGTTACCATGCCAGCCAACTCTGTCAGACAATGCGGCCCGCACAGGGGCAGGGGGAAACGTTTTCCCCGCCCAGAGGGGACCGATGGCCGCAGCGTGGGCTTCGATCACAGCGGCAGCAGCAGCAGTCATGCGCACTGCTACCCCACCTCGATTCGCCGTGTCCTCTGCGAGTGTCTTCCCGGCCGCGCTCCGCCTGGTCTTCTCAGTCCCTCCCTTCGGCTGCAAGTCAGAGTGACCTGTCGCTGCAGTGACCTCTTGGTGCGGACCCACAGGGACTGCACCAACATTGGCCTGCGCGCTTGGTTTTGGCCTCCCCGCGGTTCACTAAAGCCGCGCACCAAAGGTCACTCTTGCCTAGGGTCACTGCTACGTGTAGCCGATCCCTACATGTTTCGGGCCTCAGTCACGTGAGCGCACCCGCCGCCGTCAGATCGCGCTGGGCCGTGCCCATCGCCTCTGACGGAACGAGAGCATCTTCCCTACAGCGGGTGCCCATGTGGTTCAGTGCGAGGGTGACGCGCACGGAGAGGGACATGGAGGAGGAGGGGTCGGAGGAGGATGGGGAGGAGAGGGAGAAGCTAGGGAGGAGGAGGGGGTGGAGGACGGGGAGGAGGAGGGGGTGGAGGAGGAGGAGGAGGAGGAGGGAAGGAGGAGGAGGAGGAGGAGGAGGAGGAGGAGGAGGGGGAGGAGAAGGACCAGTGTACCCCCAGAACGCTTCAAGGTTGTTGCAATAAGCCCTCCTTCCAGGTTCCCTCTTCATAGGTCCATACAGGAATTTGTTTTCATCGCGAGAACTGGCCCATTAGAAGACAATCATATGAGAATCCTCAATCGTGCCAAATCAGATGTGTTGGAACTCTACCGTTACGGATCAGCGTGACCGTTGCGTCCTGACTCTCTTAAACCGTACCAGAACACCATCCCTGGGACTTCACCACCGCGATCCAACGGTATTGTTGCATGCGGACAATCTTTAATACTGTCAGACCACAGTTCCGGGGACTTCGACCATACGAGCATTTGAGCATGTGCAAACTTACAAGGCGAACGTGCGCGGCGCTGGGGGACGAGCTGCATGTTGAAAAGGGGCCGCCCTCCATCCATGAAGCTGCAAACTTTTACAAAAAATGTTCGCGGCGCGAAGGCGAGAGCTACCTTTTGAAAACCACGTGTCCTCCATCCGTGAAGTTGCTGCAGTCTTCTAAGGCGAGTGCGCGTGGCACGGGGGCGAAAGCCACATTTTGAAAACTACCAGCTCTCCCTCCGTGAAGCTGTTGCAGCATTTTACGATCGCTGTGCGCAGCGCTAGAGAGCCACATTTTGCCAACGACCTGCCCACCATATCCGTAAAACCACTGCAAGCTTTCAAGTCGATTGTGCGCGGCGCTAGAGCGAGAGCCACATTTTGAGAACCACCCGCCCTCCATTCGTGAAGCTGCTGCACACTTGAAGCTTCAGGATCATGCATCGGGCGCGCGACGCAATGTCACCGACCCGCTTGTCGGTGCGACAGGGCGGAGTTATCTTTAATGAAAAGAGATGGAGGAGGAGGAGGAGGAGGAGGAGGAGGAGGAGGAGGAGGAGGAGGAGGAGGAGGAGGCGAGGAGGAGGAGGAGGAGGAGGAGGAGGAGGAGGACGAGGTTTTCGAGGAGGGCCCAGGAAGCGGAACACCGTCCCAACGGTACGGCGCGCTTCCGAGTCAGGGGAATTAGTACGGAGCAGCACGGCTGGAGGCTCCCAAGGGGGCCAGGGCTTCCTCAGCTTACGTCTCCTCTTCCGCCTTCTCCTCCTCTGTCTCCCTTTAACGAGACTAGGGAACGGACAGGCTTGCACAACGTCCCGAGCGTCCCGACTTTCCCTGGTCAGGGTGCATTCACGGGCTCCATGTTCCACAGCGCTGAGTACAAGGCTCGCGCCCACCACGACTACCTTGCAGGGGGGGGGAAAGGATGGCAGTGTTAACAATTCAGGCAGCAACGGCAACGTCAAACAGGGCATGGCAGTGGAGAACATCTCATGCCAATCAGATGCGCATTGGATGCGCCAGAAACAATGAGAGAGAGAGAGAGAGAGTGATCGGAGAAAGATAGGGAGCGTTAGAAGGAGCAGCAGTGCAGCAGCATCGGCAGAACCGTAAGCACAGGATTATGTGAATTTCGATATGTCTTGCTACTGACACAATGTATGGCCAAGGGTGCTGCACATTACTTGTACGTGGCGCAGGCTGATCGTCAGGAGTATACCGGGTTTTCCTCGTTCGTAAAGGCAGGGGGATTACGTTTTCTTAACTCTTCGCATCTCCTTACCAGCGCATCTACCAACGCTTTTTGTGCGAGTTGCCTGAGGTGTGCAGAAACATACGGTGTTTCGGTAAGCCGAAGGGCTTCCCTTAAGGGCGCCGCGACTGCCCTTCGGGTTGACTCCCGGTTTTTTCCGTGACACTGGAGAGGCGCGACGAAAGTGGTCGCCCGAGGTGTTTCGTGACGGTGGGGAGGCGCGAAGAAGCCAGGCGTCAACCAGACATGCTTTCGCTTTGTTTGCCTATTTATTATATGGTCTTTGAAGCCTTTGGGCCCCCTTGGGGCTCTTCAGGGACTCCCCTTGCCTTGGGGCCTTGATGGCCCTCGGTCGATCTGGGAGACACTCGATCAACCAATGGCGGGCCGTCAACTACCCCTCCTCCCCCTCCCTTCCCCCTTCTCCTCCTCCTCCTCCTCCTCGCTCGCTCGCTCGCTCGCTCGCTCACGTGCTACTTAGGGGCTTCAAAGGTTGAGTCTGTGCCACAAGAAGAGAGATACAAGCTCATGCGCCGAATTCGCGAAGGGAACCGTCAAGGTAAGCTTGCCACAGTCCCTCGCGAGCCCCCCCGGGGACACAACCGCTTTGCCAGGGAAAGACCGTCTTCGCAGCGCGACAGCTCGCCAGGCGTGGGCCCCGATACAGCAGCCCGGAGATCCTCCCCACATGCCAGTGCGAGTGTGGCTACGACGCCGACTGCGGTTGGACAGCCACATTTGACGGGGAGTTGCACTTTGAAGGGTATTATGACAGTTTGGCCAAGGGCGATGATATCGGCGACATGATTGAGTAGGATGGCGCAGATTAAGATGACTGTGATACGTACTTTGGCGGCAAGGGGTGTGTCCAAGGACGATGTCGCTGCACAGGCAACAGCAAAGGAAGAGGACGCGGATTTCGACGACGGTTTCCTCACAAAGGTAACGGACGTGGCAAAGGTACGAATGGACGCAAAGGCGGGGCTAAGGGTGTACCAGACGTTCGGCCCAGTCGAACACCACTATGTTCGGTTCTAAGCAGCTCTGCGGTGTTGTCGACTTTCACATATTCAGTGACATTGGCACACCAGTTGTCTAAGCAAGTCGCGTGCGTGGTTATGAGGCATATGCGTGGCATCGGTGAAGCAGCCCAATCATCACACGCGCTTGGTTACCAGCTTCGCCACGCAGCGGCATCTTCACATTCTTTTGTTCGCCAGCAGAGCAACTTGCTGATCTGGGCCTCGTTGCGCTTCGACGGGAAAAATGGCTGGTACACTGGTGTGCGTAAGACGTGCGGCATCTGCCACTCATTTGGGGAGCGTTTCGCCCCCGGGTCACGTTTAATTAACCCCCGCCGTCGTTTCCCTGAGGTTGTGTTGAATTCGATTGATGGAACAGTTTGTTTCTGGAAAGGAAGTTAGTCAGCAATGACATCGACCCGTGCATGACCCTGCGCGCGGCGAGCGGCAAACTTCGTTGCAGACTCATCGCCGACCCAGGCGCAGCTGGAGGATTGCGCGGGGCCGAGACCCTACTCGGATGGAACCGTGATCTGTATCTGCCAGCAGGCCTTCAATACGACATTCAAGCATCAGAAGCCGCCTTCGCGGTCATCCGTGGTCAAGCAGGTCGTTCATGCGGCAATGTACGTTGACCAATTTGACTTCAAGGTTTGCAGTTGTGCTCTCTCCGTAAAAGCGGATCTCTTTGATGGGAAGGGGGTGCGCGATGCCCCAGTTTATTGCCCAGCGGCGCGTTGGCGAGGCAGATGTGCATTCTTTTCGAGAACATGCTCGGCAATGGCGACGGCGTCTTGACGTTCGTTCCAGGCGAAGGAGTACATCCGCGAAGGCCATGGCATTACTCACGCATTCAGGACACCATCTCTTGTCTATTGACGAGTTCAGGGCGCAGGCCGACCAGGCAGCAATTGACGTGCTGCAGTTGATCGCGGGGCGGATCGGGCATTCAAGGAGGGTCTCCATCCTTCGCATGAAGCCACATGTACAGCTACACGCAGCCAGTCAACTACAACAAGGCCGCGAAGCGCAGACCCAGAGCAAGTATATTCACGACTGCTAACGCCTATCACGACACGACCAGCGGTGCTACAATATGGGACATTTCGAAACCTGGGCGCCAATTTTTATGACTGGCGGAGCCAATTCGATGGCACTCTCTACTCGCAAGATGAATGGCCAAACAACTCTGAGCGCGCTGAACGTGTGCGAATGGCTCGGGGATGCGCGATCATGGGCGAGCAGGTCCACCGTGCACGGCGGCTACCTGTTACGCGGCAGGAGCATGCCCGATAATTTACCCTGCGTGCGCAGCCAGCAGCCAACAATATGTGTCTCATGGTGGAAGTTTTCTCATGCGCGTCTTGTCGAACTCACCCGGTAACCTTGCTACCGATTGACTATCGCTGCGGATGGGGTCTCCATCGTCGAGATCATCGGCAGTTGATCCTGGACCGGCGAGAGGGTTTCTATCGATTGTTTTCTCTCATGGGGTTTCATTGCCGACCGTGGTCGCCGTTGTCTCAGTCGAAAACAGCGCGACGCTTGTTGACTTGGAGATCATGCGAGATTGCGACAGCCCGAAATTGACTTGGGCAGCGCCGGCCTATGCACCAGCACTGGATCGATAAGTGCGCCGAGTCATCGTGGAGAAGCCCATCGCTGTCAGCAGTGTGGGAACCGTCGGGTCTGCGGCTGTTTCCAGACATCCCGCGGCGAGAGCTACGTGGCAAAGTCGCCGTCTGCGCGCGCGTGGCGCGCGGGGTGAGGACCTGTGCCTTGTGTTTCGCTAGGGAGCGCATTTCAGGAGCGCGGCCAGATTGATGGGCGCCTCGCGGGCATGCGAGTGCGCCGGTCATCGGGCAGAATTGGGCATGCGATGCAGGGGGGGGGGGGGGCGAACGGCTTTGGCAGCAGTTCCCCCAGCTGGACTCTGTCGGCCATTGATCAAGGACGTGGTCGTGTACATGCGCGCAGCAAGAACGCGGTCGCATTGGAGTGCAGGCGTTATCGGCGCGGAGCGGCTGCGGGAGCGCAGCGCGCAGACGGGCGGGCGCAGAATTTACGCGTTGCCGGGCGCGCAAGGAGCCCCCGCGGAAGCAGCGTCGCCAATGGGGTCAGCGCCAACGGCCGCCCGAGCGGCAGTTCTAGCGGCGTCTCCACCTGCGCCGCCAGAGATGCCGGCTGCGCCGCCAGCGCCGCCAACGGGGCCAGCAGCGCCCGCGGCGCCAGGAGCAGCGCCTCCACCTCGGGCCCCGGTAGCAGCGCGGCCATCGTCGACGGCCACTGGTGCCAGGATCATGAAACCTTCATTCGACTTGGACAAGTTGGCGCAGAAATTGTCTCAATCATCGGCAAGTAAAGAACGCATCAAGTTGCGCGTATGTCCTCACTGCAAGTTCGCGCATCCGCCGGACTGCGAGGTTGAGCGGGTGATCCAGGCGCTTAATCTCCCAGCTCCGATTCGGGAGTCGTGCGAGGGTCTCGCGGAGCGCTGTGGCTCGCGTGGCGCGTGCTGGCGGCGGCGGCGCTCGATGAACGAGCCGTCGGTCAAGGCAGTGCTCGCACTGCATGTCGATGGTCGCGCCCAAGAAGATCTCTTGTGCGTGTTAGAGAAGAACTGGCTGAGGATCATCGGCGAGCGCCCCGGACATCGCATCCCTCGTGTGATGGAATCGAGGCAAGGTCTTCACATCCTGCGCGCGACGCTTCGATGCCGCTGGATTCGGTATGACCCGCGGAAATCCTGGCAATGGATCGGGATGGTGGAATGACATCGCACAACGTGGCCCTAGCCGTAGACAGATGCAACATGAGGTTGGCCTTCGATGGGGCAGATAGGCATGCCGAGACAGGCTTCGCAGGGGGCCTTTCCAGGCGCTGGTGCTAGCGGCTCGAGACAAGGGCGACGTGACCGCGCGAGGTTCGACGGACATCAGGGATGTGGATATCCTTGGGGAATCAGCGATGGTGGCGAGTATCTTCGAGATCTTCAAGATGAACAGCGTGGGCAGCCTACTTCGCGGCCGCGGACAGCGGCAACTCAAAGGTCTCGGCGAGGTTGCGCATGGAGTGATAGTGGCGTGGCGCGGTCGACCTCGAGGTAATTACTATAGCAGCGACATCGATCCGACTCTGCCGATCAACGTGGCCAAATTGGTGGGCGCAGACTTGGGTGATCAAGATTTCATGCTGCTGGTATTGGAGCGCGGGGGCTCGGTGGCCAGCCCGGGCACCTGCCTCCCGGCAGATTTGAGCGACGCCCCGTTCATTCAAGATCAGTATGACCTGCCCAGCGCGCATTGCCTCTCGCGCCAGGTGGCGTCGGCGATCAGACGGTAATGCCAGTTGCGTCGGTAGTTCTCGGCGACCAGAATCAGCGCCCGACGTGTCAATGGCATGGGCACCATCATCAACGGCGCTTCTCCCTTCGCAAGATCGCTGGTGGGAGCCGACATTTCTTCGGGCGCTCGGCCGGGCAGGCCCAGGGCATCCGCCCGAGAAAACATAATTTCTTCTCCTGGAAAAGCTTCGCGGTGTCACGCAGGCGATCGTCGATCGGAAAGCTAACTGCGGCGGCCGCGCAGAAGGCGTCCAATCGGGACCTATCTCGGGACCTTGGCGACGTGATGAACGAGGCGCAGGTGGCGGACCGTGTGCGCCAGATCGCCCTTGGTCAAGAACAACAAGCGCTTCCTGTCGAAAGCGCAGACAGGAATGATGGACCCAGTCAGGCAAATCGACGGTCATGGGGGGCGTGGCCTTGGTGGGCGGGCATGGCAAGCTCGTTGAGATTTATGCAGATGTTGGGGCATTGGAAGGAAGCGCGTAGAGCGGTCTAGCTGATATTTCTCAGCAGTCGGAGCAGCTCGTCCCGTCGACCTCGATCCCGACGGGCGTTCGTTCGATATTGCGTTCGCAGAGGCGGGCAGCGAACTGGGCGACATCGACGGCGCCGTCGGGGCAATTGCCAGCGCCGCCATGACAGCGCGTAGATGATCGATGCATCGGCAGGGCATGGAGGTGACATCCCCAAGGGAACGTGGACTAATGCGCCTGCATATCCAGTGCCGCCTCATGTTCAAATAGTTCAACCTCTCCATGATGGACCAGCCTCGGCATATCTGGTTCCACATCGTAAAAAGGTACTGCCGCCGCTGCAATATGGATCAGCCGTTTCAGCTCAGAAAGGGAGCGCTGGCGAGGAGACCGACATGAACGTCAATGACAGTGGCCTCCTCGCAGGCGCGCTGGAGTAGTTGATTGGACATGTGAATGGCGAGTCTCCGGTGCTACTTCAGGATTCAGACGCGCTGTGATCATGGCGTATCGAGCATGCAGAACATAGACCAGTTATCGTTCAATCAGACAACGTGGGTAACCTGTATCAGGACGGCCACTGTCCAGACATGCGGATCAGCCCAAAGACCAGCTGGCACCACCTGGCAGAAACATTACCATGGGCACCTCCAGTTTCTTCGTGCGCCATGATAGGCACGGAAGGTAATGTGCCCCTCGCTGCTTCTACGTCGACATTCGTGAGCGAGGTTTAGTGTATGCATAGATGTATGCGTAAATGTATATATCTATATATATATAGATATATATCGATGCGCATCTCAAGCAGAGCAACTGATTCAGGAATCAGAGTTTGAGAAGCTATGGCCGCAGATAGCGGAATTGGACTTCGAGGGGATTCAGAACAACGTCAAGCATGATTGTTTTCGCCCCGAGATGAAGATGGAAAGCAGCAGCCCGAACTTCATTGTCGCTGCGTGGGCCAGACGCTGGACGTGGTAGGAGAGGGGTCATCCGTTGTTGTCTTTGCGGCCATTCGTTGGTGCAAGCAGAAGTGGGCTGTGGAATGGCGTATGTCAAGGGCGGCTCGAGTATCCCATCGCATAACGGCATCGTTATGTCAGTGTTTGCCAGACTTTGAAGCAGGACGGTGGGTCATTCCATCGGCATCCGTGCAGGGATTTCTTTTGGGCGAAATTTGAGAGCGATCCAAGGAGCTAGGACTCGGTGTTCGTGACAGGTGGGAAGTCTGCTTTGCTCCTCCGGCACGTGCGTGGCGCTGCGTGAAGTAGTTATTCGACTTGTTCGGAAAGATGCCAGATGGCCATATTATTTCATCGCTTGGCTCATTCCGCCGGCGCACATGGTGCCATCGCAGGCGTTTGCCTGCGCGTTCGTGGACTCTTGGGGCCGCTTGGGGGCCGGTAGGGGGCTTCTTGGGGTTTCTTTTGGGCCTCTTGGGGGCCTCGTGGGGCCTCCGGGTGGCGCCCCGGGCTTTCTCGGGGACTTCTTGGGGCCGCCCGGGGGCCTCTTGGGGCGATGGGGCTCGAATGGGTGGTTCGCGTGCCCGCCTCTGGGGCCGTTTTGGGGCCCTCTCGGGCTGTCTTTCAGCCCTCTTGGGGGCCTCCTCGGCGGTCTTGGGGCGATCTTGGGGGCCTCTGAGGCAGTCTTGGACGTTGCGCATGCCGAGGGGGCGATTCTGTTAAAAATATCAGTTTCCTGCTGGGAATGGAGCGGTTTCGGCTTCTTGGGGTTTTCTTTTGGCGGGGCGCTCCTGGAGCGATCCGGGGGCCCCCCAGGGCCGCGCCCGGGAGTTCCAGCAACCGTGGCCCGGCGTCTGCCGGGAGTCCGGCGCGGCTTTTTTCGCCCTGGGGCCCCCGGGGGCCGCCCCGCGCGCGAAGTGGGGGCGACGTGCAGCCGTTGCCGGAGGTCTTAGTGCGCCTCGGGCCCGTTGGTCTGTCGAATGCAATGCGTTCCTGGGCGCGTCGAGCCACTGCCTGGATCAATCGATGCGCCGCTGCTATGGCAGGCGGCATTGGCACTGCATATCAAGAGCGTCGCGGCGGGCACGCGGGCGCTTTTGGGCGAGAATTGCTTCGCGCGGCGCGAGCGGGAGACGGATCTGCTCGCGCTCGCGCGGGCGGTGCGCGCGGATGTTCTGGCCCCGACCAGCAAGCCGGCGCGGCCGGATTGCGCGCGCTCTTTGTTGGAAGGGAATTTCCGCAACATCGCGAGGTTGAAGATGCCCTTCACTGATCTTGGGATTGAGTGGTACATGTTAGCCGATGATGCGATTTCTTGAGTCAAGACGCCTGTCTGGACACAGTCGAGCCACCGGCGCTTGATAAGGAACGAACCAAGAAAGGCAACCTGCAGTGCGCGGCGAGTGAGCATCGCGCATTTCGACGATTGCGTTGCCAGCGGCTGCGTCTACTTCAGACGCGATGGGATATCGGCGCCGGAACTATGCAGTTGCAGGCCAAACAGGCTTCCTCGACCATCTGCGATTTCAAGCAGCTCAAGGTTCTCCGGGGGCAGGGGAAGGAGACTCGTGACCCAGCAGGACTCTACCTCGAGAAGATGACTGGACCCCCTGGATTGGTCAGCACCAGCGACGAGGTCCATGCCATTTAGTTGACTTCGTGCGCTCGTGAAGCTCAAGGTTTGTCTCTCATGGCGTAGCGGCCTGTCGTATGCAATCATCATGGCCCTCAGACAGGGAGCTCATATGATTATATATTTGAAGCATCGATAGGACAGACCAATGCATCGAATATTCTTACGAGTCATGCTGAGACCGTGGAAGGTGGCTCACAGACGTCGGAATCCACGGCGTTGCGTTTCACGGAGTTGGTCGCCAGGCCTTTGCTGGAGAAGAATGCTGCGAGTGCGCTTCTGGCCTTGGGGACGATGCAAGATGAAGGCATATCGATCGGTCATCCCCGTCGACATCGTAACGGGCTGCTTCGATCTCTGCCAGTTCGTTTCAGTAGACAGTACACAGTGGCTCAGTATCTTGAGTTTCCGAGAGGATCGCGTATCGGGAAGATCCCGCATTTTCTGCCATTGGCCCACCGAGGCGATGGTGATGGACGATTTGAAAAACCAAAAAGTATTTCCACATATGAAGCACTATCATATGAATGGTCGTATACGCTACAGCAGACTACCCATGATGAAGAATAGAGTCGTGAGGGGGATCAAAGTCAAGGACAATTTCACGGCCCACGACTTGACAGCGATCAAGGCCTGATCGGATTCCTCTTTTTAGAAACACGGAGTCATAGTGATACTTAGGTCCTGTAAAGATAGTTTCAGGAGCTGTCTTGGGACTTTCGGAGGTCACCTTCGCGGTTCCCTGCGCCGTCACCGCCGCGAAGGACTCGAGGCTGTGTTTTTCAACCACAGGCCGTTGGATTATCCCGACTCAGATGCTGCGCGGCCCACTCCTCCTCCTCCTCCTCCTCCTCCTCCTCCTCTTCCTCCTCCTCCTCCTCCTCCTCCTCCTCCTCCTCCTCCTCCTCCTTCTCCTTCTTGGTCGTAAAGTGCCCCTCTTTCCCCCGTCGGACCCAGGCGCATCTTTTCTCTTGGGGCCCTCTTGGGGCTCTCTTGGGGTGCTTCCGGAAGCACTGTCCGAGACAGCCCCCACGGGGCCTGCGATGATGCCCAGACTGCCCAGCGCCATGTCCCATGTTTCTGCTCAAGATGGTTCTGAGAGGACGTTTGTCCAACTTGGGCTATCTTGCGCCATCTTGGAAGCTACCTTTGGCTATCTGGAGCCATGTTGGAATCATCATGAGCGCAAGCGAACAGTCTTACTGCTCACGCCCCCCCCCCGCCGCTCCAGACCCAGGCGATGTGATTGGGGTAGGGTCCAACTTCCACATGGAAAGCCGACGGCCACGCTGCCCAGGCAACCGCGCTGCCCAGGCAACCACGCTGCTGCACACTACTTCGCGTCAGTGTCGCACGCTGTGCTGTGCGCGCTCTTGGACGTACTTTCAAACGTCTGCGCATGGTAACACCCAGTATTCAGCACAGGGAGTGGCCGCGATTGAGCGCGGCCGTGGCGTTCGTTAAACAATTTGCACAGGAGGGCGGCGGTGATTTCCATGGCCAAGCTTCAATTGATGCTCCACTGGCTTCCAGTCCCTGGATTCCTTATCTAGGGTTTTTTATCCAATGGCGCCTTACCGTATGGGCGCCTGCCAGTGGCCAGGTGCGCCGCGCGCCGCGTGCGCCACGAGCCCTCGACCTGCCGGGCACGACGGGATCGCCAGGTGCGCCAGACGCGCCACGTGCGCCAGATGGGCCGCACACGCCTGGCGAGCTAGGTGCGCCAGACAGAGCGCGCGTTTCCGTGTGCCGCGCGCGCCAAGTTCGCCCGCCAGGCGCGCTCAGTGTGCCGGATGTGTCGTGTGCGCCACATGCGCGCGACAGCACATATCGGAGAACATGTCCAGCCCCCTATATCTCTGACGGAAGCCACAGCAAAGGGAAGGTGGGGTGGTCAGCATGATGTGTGGCGTGTGCGCCCACGCTCGTATCGCATTTGTTTTTGGCAGGATATGCGGCCCTGCTGCGCGCAGAGTCACATAATGATGCCCCCCCGCAGCCGTGGTTGTCAAAAGGCGACCGCGGAGTGATCGCGGGTTGCCCGCGCATGGCGCGGTCGTTGCCGCAGGGTGCGCTCTGCACTGCTTTCCGCAGGGGTGGTGGTGGCGGTGTCCTTGCTGTTCGGGGTCGGCAGCCTCTCGCGTCGTGGCGGGGGTGTTTGCTGATGCGGAGCGGTGGTGAGGCCTTTCTCCCGATGGGTGAGAAGGGGTGTTGACGAGTTGGCTCGCTAAGCCGCCTGCGCCCAGAGGGTGGGTGGGATCGTGGATCAGAGTAGGGGTGGGATGCTTCGGGGGTTGGCGCAGCGCGTCGGGAGAAGTCAAAGGATGCTGACGACAAGGCTGAATGGACAGGCAGAGGCATTTCTGGGAAGGGGGATGGGGTGGATGAGGAGGAGCAGCAGCAGTCACGAAGTGGTGGATGATGACTATCTGGAGGAACTGGTGGTGGGGTAGGTGCTGGGGCATGGAAGGGAATGAATACGACTCGGAGTTCAAATATGCAGGAAGGGTAAATCTGCATAAATTTGGGGTGCGGGAAGGCATGGGTGGAAGCAATGAGCATGACATGCTACAGTGGAGGACCCTGCCGTGTTCGCAGACAAGGATATCCTGGTCGTTGGCAGCGGAGAGACGGGCTTCGACGTGGCATACGCGGCGGCCAGGGGACGGGGGGAAGCAGGGCAAACGAGTAGCTGACCGGCAGGGCACAACAGGTAATGCGTGCATTTCTGGAGCAGGAGGCCGAGGGGAGGCAACCGACGTAAAGGAGGGAGAGGCCAACGCGTGTGAGAGCACGGCAGTGACGGCTGTGGTAAGGCGCTGAAGGTCGTCTAGCTAATCACTTAAAGCTGAGCTTGGAAGCCCCCTCCGCAGCAGGTGAGTCGTGTATCGTGCTCGTGCCCCGCGTGACGTGTCGCGCGTGCGGAGCCGTGCGCACGCTCTTCTGGCCTCCAGTGCTTCTGCAGATGGCCTCCCTTTCTTGCTCCTGGTGCTGCCCTGTCGTGCGGTCGCACGGGGGGTCCCAATCGTGTCCCGATGTGCTTGACGCAAGCTCACGAGCGCTATCACCCCCTGGCGTCCTGCGTTGCGCTTCATTTTGGGACCAACGTTGAACCAAGCAGCAATCATTGCAGGGTTCATCACGTTCCTCAACACTGGTGTCTGTCAGGATTTCGCGCTCAGAAGATTCTTCAGGCTTCCGCCACATCCGCCGACCCCTTGGATTTTCCTCGGGATCGTTCACCACAGCTTCCTTGCAAACCGTGGGAAAATGAGGCTGTTCAGGGCCCGTCACAGCGAGAAGGGGAGCCGACATGGGTCGCAAACTGGCCCAGAGGGCTTCCAGACGGCCCAAGCGAACCCCAAGACGGCACAGGGAGGTTTTTTGGATTGTGTTTGGGGCCTTGCACGGGTGCCGGAGCCAGGGAAGTATGTTACACCCCGGAGACATCTTACGGTTGTCGGCGGTTTCCAAGCGGGATGTCCCGCTAACTGTTAATGTTCGGGGATGTTTGGGCTGACCTTGTCGATGGCAATGACGTCGTTGATGATCACGACACTGATGACGATGATCGGCTCCCTCTCCTCCTCTCCTCCTCCCCCTGCTCCTCCCTCCTGCTCCTCTTCCTGCCTCTCCTCCTCTGCCTTCTCCTGGGGGAAGAGTTTGGGGAGGGGGAACATCTCACACGCCGATGAACGTCTTGGGGCCCTCGAGGGCAATGTACGGACCCTCTTGGAGGCTTCTTGGACCGTCTGGGAGCGGGTTTGGGGGGCTCTGGGGCCGTGCAGGAGCGGGGGCCACCCCCAAAGGCGCACGTGTGAAAAAAAATACGTTTTACAGAGGAAACGAGCGATTTTTTGCGTCTAGAGGGCCTCATGGGGGGAATATTGGATGCCTGTGGTGGCGTCTGGGGAGGCCTCGTGAGCCGTCAGGAGGTCGTCGTCGATGTTTCTGATCGCTCTTGGACCGTCTGGGACCATGTGGAGCTTCGGGGAGGCAGCTCGGAGCGCTCCTGGAACGCTCTTGGGGCCATTTTCGGAGCCGTGTTGGGCCGTCTTGGACGCCTGTTGGCCCATCTTGGGCCCTCTAGGGGTCTGTGGGGGACCCTCTGCGAGGCTTCTGGGGCCGTCTGGGAGCGGGTTTGGGAGCCTCTTGGGCCGTCGGGGAGCATCGGAAAGATCCAAAGCTGAATTTCTAAAAAATGTACATTTCACGAAGGGAATGGCCCAATTTTGGCGTCTAGGGACCCTTGTGGAACGCATCTCGGAGGCCCTCGGGGGAACTCGTGGGGACCTCTTCTGCCGTCGAGGACGCCTCGTGGCCCGTCTTCGGGCAAACTTGGACGTCTTGGAGCGCTCGTGGGGCGTCCCAAACCCATTTCGAGGCCACCAGACGCGTCCCTACACGAATTCCACGTGTTTTTCCACGTTTTTCGGGAGCGGATGAGACCTCCGGGGGGTTCCGGGCCGTCCGGGGCCGTAGGCTACCAGACGCGTCCCTACACGAATTTCGCGTGTTTTTCAACGTTTTTCGGGAGCGGATGAGACCTCCGGGGGATTCCGGGCCGTCCGGGGCCGTCCGACCGGACCCCCACCCCCCTCCAAATGGACCGGACCGGGCTCCCGGGGGAGGGGTTGTGGGAGGGGGAACATCTCACACGCCGATGAACGTGTTGGGGTCCTCGAGGGCTATGTACGGACCCTCTTGGAGGCGTCTTGGACCGTCTGGGAGCGGGTTTGGGGGGCTCTGGGGCCGTGCAGGAGCGGGGGCCACCCCCAAAGGCGCACGTGTGAAAAAAATACGTTTTACAAAGGAAACGAGCGATTTATTGCGTCTAGAGGGCCTCTTGGGGGGAATCTTGGATGCCTGTGGGGGCGTTTGGGGAGGCCTCGTGAGCCGTCGGGAGGTCGTCGTCGATGTTTCTGATCGCTCTTGGACCGTCTGGGACCATGTGGAGCTTCGGGGAAGCAGCTCGGAACGCTCCTGGAACGCTCTTGGGGCCGTTTTCGGAGCCCTCTTGGGCCGTCTTGGACGCCTGTTGGCCCATCTTGGGCCCTCTAGGGGTCTGTGGGGGACCCTCTGCGAGGCTTCTGGGGCCGTCTGGGAGCGGGTTTGGGAGCCTCTTGGGCCGTCGGGGAGCATCGGAAAGATCCAAAGCTGAATTTCTAAAAAATGTACATTTCACGAAGGGAATGGCCCAATTTTGGCGTCTAGGGACCCTTGTGGAACGCATCTCGGAGGCCCTCGGGGGAGCTCGTGGGGACCTCTTCTGCCGTCGAGGACGCCTCGTGGCCCGTCTTCGGGCAAACTTGGACGTCTTGGAGCGCTCGTGGGGCGTCCCAAACCCATTTCGAGGCCACCAGACGCGTCCCTACACGAATTCCACGTGTTTTTCCACGTTTTTCGGGAGCGGATGAGACCTCCGGGGGGTTCCGGCCCGTCCGGCCGGACCCCCCCCCCCTCCAAATGGACCGGACCGGGCTCCCGGGGGAGGGGTTTGGGGAGGGGGAACATCTCACACGCCGATGAACCCCAAGGGGTCGGCGGATTCATCGTGGGTGGACCTTCCCGCCCAATACCCTATGTTGGAACGGAAACAATGTGTGACCTAATTTTGAAACTTCTTGCAAAGCGGGTGCGACGCACATGGGGGCGAACTCCGAAGCAGAAGGGACACGCGTGGTGCCCGTTAGCGGCGATTCATCGTCGTTTCCAACAGTAATGTCCCCAATCACGCCGCATTTGTGCACAAATCGGAAATCGACGCGCGACTATTTCAGGTGGTCACATGTCAAACACATGAGTGCGATGTTATTCAAATGCCGCGAACTTGTAGCGATAACGACAGCCGTGAAGCAGGTATGCCGCAATTCCGAGCCACACGCGATATCTAACATAGGCGCCTCAGTTTTGACATGGAGCCGCACATAATGCGAGCGAAAGTGATTTTCTGCTGTGGTGTACGGTCTTGGCATTTCTGATCGTGGTGTGCCCAGCACGAGTTCTCATCATGATTCGCATGTGCACGATGTGTGAGGCCTGACATCTGCCGCATGCGATCAACCATCCAGTCAACGGCGGAGCATATGCGAGGCAGCTGCACATGCAATCGAAGCGTCGGAGCAATCACTGCGAAAGGCAAGTCTTATATCGAACCGCAGCAGGAACACATTACCGCTCCGACATGCGAAACCATGAATCTACAGCTTGCTGGGGGGATCGCATGTGTGTCTCATGCGTCGAGGTGTCGTTTCAACATTGCATTCGCATTTGTTGTCATGCTATCATGTGTCGCCCTCGTTTTCCAATCGTCAAGATGCGCCGCTTTTGGACTTGCGAAGATGAAACATCCCCTGGATCTTGCGGAACGTTACCAGGCCATCTACTGGACGACTGGTGGTGCTGTTTTCTGCGGGTGGCACTGTCTTTTACTTCAAAGCCGTGCAAAGATTTATCCAGGACGTTGTGCGGACATCCATGCAACATGCACGCGATTGTGAGTTGAAGTACTGTAGCCACTTGGGGCTTAAGAACATGCCATCCATCCATATCAGCATGGTAGCGCGGAGCGTGGTTCCCTGACCGCAGAGTCTGCCCGCATCGGCCATGGAGGAGGCTCTCAGGGCGATGGGGGCCAGGCTGACGGCGGCGGAGCAGCAGATTGCAGACAGGACGGCCGAGCTCACTGAGGCCAGGAGGGTCATCGACCAGATGAGCACCGCGGGCCCCGCTGCAGCAGGAGCCGCAGCCGCTCCTCAGCAGCCCAGCCGCGGCGAGAGCTCCCTCGTGGACACGAGGGCGCTGGGCAAGCCGCCGCTGTTCTCGGGTGACCTGACGGCGGACGGCAAGCCAGAAGGAGGTCTAGCGTGGCCGCAGTGGTCATTCACATTCAGGGCATACGCTGGCGCGTTCGACCCGACGTGCAGGGACGCGCTGGAGTATGCAGCCAACAAGGTCGACGACGAGCAGCAGATCAGCAACGTGATGATGGATGTGAACGACAAGAAGCTCTCGTCGCAGATCTACTACGTGCTGGCACTCACGTGTCGTGGGCGAGCACTATCTGTGGTGCAACGAGTCCCAGAGGGCTGGGGGGTCGAGGCTTGGAGGCAGCTGTGCCGCGAGTTCGAGCCCAGGCTGCCGAGCCGCTTCCAGGGCATGCTACAGAGGCTGCTCGACCCCGTGCGAGGCCCCGACATGTTGGAGAGTATCTACACCTGGGAGCGCCAGCTGAAGGCCTATGAGGAGCAGTCTGGTGACCAGATGGCTGACTCAATCAAGCTGGCGACTTTGACCAACAAGCTCTTGGATGGGCCCCTGAAGACCCACGCCAACCTCCAGGTAGGCCGCTTGCAGACGTACGAAGCCGCGAAGGCCGAGGTGATCTCATACCTTCGCGCGACGGCCAGCCAGGAGGAGGAGCCAGTACCCATGGAGCTGAACCCTGTGACTGGAGAGCTGTGCCCTATGACACGGGGCAAGGCCGGCAAGGGCAAAGGCAAGGACAAGAGCGGCAAGGGAAAGAACCACGACGGAAAGGGTAAGAGCAAGAAGGTCTGTTTCTACTGCGCCAAGCCGAACCACACGAAGCAGGAATGCAGGATCTTAGCGAAGGACCGAGCGAGCAAGGACATCAAGCCAGACAAGTCGGGAC